GTCAGCGGCAGAGCACTTGCCTCGCACATGTGAGGCACTGGGTTCGATCCTCAGCACCACATACAAATAAATCAACAAAATAAAGATTAAAAAAAAACATTAGACAGACATCTTTAAAGGGCTAAAAGAAAGATTTAAAAACATATCAACCTAGAATTCTATATCCAACACAGTTATCTTTAAAAAATGAAGAGGAAACCAAGACATTTTAAGGTCAAACCAGAAAACCAGTAGTAAGATAACAAACATAAATCCAACAATACCAATAATTATGTTAAATATTAAATAAAAGAGATTCTCCAATTAAAAGGCCCAAACCTACTATGAAGAAGACAACAATACATTGTCTGCAGTTGACAAACATAAAATAAATAAATAAATACATCCAACAAAAAGGAAGCGCATTCGCTGGCAGTCAAGCACCACGAGATATGCCCAGTGTGCTCTTCAGGCTGAAGGGGATGAGATCAGATGGAAACTCCGATCTTTAGGATAAATGTGAGCAGCAGAAATGGGGGAACAGTTGGTAAATATAAAATGTCATTTCCCCCCTTCATTCATTAAAATGTCTTTTTTAAAATACAAATATAACAAGGTCCTGTGGATTTAATAAGAATGTGGGTATAGTAGCACAAGTGTGACAACTGCAGTATTAAGTCCAGGCTGGACTCAGATGGTTGCAAGAAACACTTCACAGGAAGTGCAATGCTGTTAGCTCAAGGGAGACTAAAAAGTCAGTGGTAGAGGATGTGCTCTTTAGAGCAACCACTACAAAATATTGCAAAGAAACAGAGTTAAAAAAGCAAATAGATAAAATCTAAAAGGTTAAATTAACCCATGTAAAGCAGAAAAGCAACAAAAGATCAAAACATTAATGGGAAAACCAGAGTAAGAAAGCAAACATAAATCCAACAATACTAATAATTATATTAAATATTAAATGAAAGAGATTCTCCAAATATAAGGCCCAAACCAACTATGGAGAAGTATATATCAATATACAGACAACTATACATTGTCTGCAGTTGACAAATATTAAATAAAAAACAGAAATAAAAGGCAAATGGATGGAAAAAGATAAACTATAGAAATAATAAGCCTAAGGAATACGGGAATGGGCACACCAGTATGAGATGAAGTAGTCTTCCAGATAAAAGGATATTATCAAAGATCAAAAAGTCATTTCATAATCATTAAGGGGACAATATGTCAGGAAGACAAACTGATCATTAATGAATATTAGCTCAATAAGAGAGCTTCAAAATTCAAGAAGCAAGCTTTTGCTGAATTGTTTCATCTTTATTTTTGAAGGACAGTTTTGCGGGACATAGAATTCTAGGTTGAGAAACAGATAAATCCACAAT